CACCCCAGCGGCGGCTGGGCCGGGCTGAGTGACAGGAGCCGGTGCTGGGGCGCCCTGAGCTAAACGCAGGGGCCGGAGGCGGGAGGGAGAGACAACAGGAGGTTCACCCGTGCGCCTGCGGGTCGGGGAAAACACGCACACCTTCCACATTCCGAGCGTTGTTGTGTAAGAAGCAGTCAAGCCCGTGACCCCGTTTTGTGAGCGTGTTTGAGCCCAGCTGTGGACAGTGGCCGGAAAGCAGAATCCCAAGGGATGGAGATCATGCTCCCAGATGGCGGCTCCTCACCTGTTCCCTAGATTGCCGCCGGGGCTGAGCCGCAGGCGGGTCACATGAATCCACGGGGCTGACGGGGAGGCGGGAGGAGCACAGCAGGAGGCTCTGGGATTGGGTGACACGAGCTCCCGTCACTCAGGCGGGGGCAGGACAGTGACCAGCCCACAACTAACCGAGAGCGAGGATGACCAGGGGGTTTGTGGGCTCCGTCCTGGCACCGTTGGCTGTGCCCCGAGTTCCAGAAAAGAGGACGGTACTAGTCACCTGAAATTTCACAGTGTTTTCTCAGAGGCAGAGACAACAGGCTCAGTTAAGATCAAAGTTGACCTTTGCCGGGGAAGACACTGGCCGAGGCCAGGACTGCCCACTGTCAACTGCTGTTTAATTTTTAAAAGTTTCCCCTTCAGACCATCCTGTGTGGTGGCCGTCGGGTCCCTGAGTTTGCAAGGCCGCCAGGCAGGCCGCCCCTGAGCAACCAGGCCGGCACGCGGCCCTTTTCGTGCACCGTGTGCGGGAGCTACACGTCCAGGCGGCCAGGACCGGGGCCTGTGAACTTCCCAGGAGCCACGCCTCCGCCCGCAGGGCCGGCCTGCCCGGGGCTGGTGCTCACCTTCCCCGCCCCACCTGTAGCCGGGGCTGCCTCTGGGCTGCGGGCTCTTCTAAACGTATCTGTTACGTTTAGGTCTGACTGATACTCCCCTCTGCCGGACACTGACCTTTAGGCCACTGCACGCCGACATTCCACTTGTAAGACCATCATCTCTCCCCTCCGGACTTTCCCAGAATCTGGACCCGCCTGGAGAATTCTCCGCCCAGAAAAAGCCGCCTCGAGGCCTTTAAAACCGCTGACTCCCCATCCCCAGGTGCTGACGCCATTTGGGGGTCAGCCCATCTGGTATCCGGACGACCTAATAAATCCATAATCCCTCATCGCTTAGAACTCGTGATCCTGACAATAAGATGGGGCCCGGCCAGTGTGTCTCAGTGGTTGGGCGTCAACCTAGGAACCAGGAGCTCGCGGCTCAATCCCCGGTCAGGGCAGATGCCAGGGTTTGGGGCTCGGTGCCCAGTAGGGCGCGTGCAGGAATGAAAGAGCTGGTCAACTTCAGGGCGCAGTGGCCGGATAAACCCTTTCAGCCGGGGCACAGGCAGGCTGGAGGGTGTTAATGGGAGGAAAAAGGGGACATAGGTAAGACTTTCAACAATAAAGCTTTTATTGATTTATTTTTTTAAAATATATTTTATTGATTTTTTACAGAGAGGAAGGGAGAGGGATAGAGAGTTAGAAACATCGATGAGAGAGAAACATCTATCAGCTGCCCCCTGCACACCTGCCACTGGGGATGTGCCCGCCCCCCAGGTACATGCCCTTGGCGGGAATCGAACCCGGGACCCCTCAGTCCGCAGGCCAACGCTCTATCCACCTAGACAAACCGGTTTCGGCAACAATAAAGCCTTTAAAATAAATAAATAACAATAAGAAGGCTTCGAGCCCTGGCAGTTAAGTCTTGGCTTCGCAGGAGGATGGAGAGTCCGCCGGGCAGCGTTGGCCCACGTGGGATGGAGGCCGTCTGGTCGGCGGGAGGATGACAGGGCTGGAGGCCCAGGAACACACAGCAGCTCTGGCCAGGGCCCAGGCTCCGCGTCCCGACTGCCCTGCCCGTCACCACAGGATGGTGGGACCTGTGACCCGGCCAGGGCCAGCTGGGGGCAGGGCCTCTGCTGTGCCCGGGCAGCACTGCTCAGCCGCCTCCGGTCTGTAGACTGCAAGCCGGCACCAGCAGGGTCCCAGCGACTGGACCTCAGTTGGGCCACCTGGGTACTTGAGTTCTGGCTGCGGACGAAAGGGGCCCCACGCTGACCTGACAGCTCAGGGGAGACCTGCGGGCGGCCTTGCAAACTCAGAGACCTCAAGTCACCACCAAAGATGGTCGGAAATTAAAAACTAAAGCAGTGATGGTGGGCAGTCACGTCCTGGGCCGGTATCTGCACTGACAAGGTCAACAACCTTTACCTTCACTGAGCCTGTCTGTCTTTTTGCATCTATGACAACATGTCCTTGAAATGTCCGGTACCATGTAACTTCCCTTTTTCCAGAGCCCTCGGGGCACAACCTAATGTGCTGGGTGCAGGACAGAGACCACAGATTCCTGCACTGTTACTGTGTTCACTGTTGACTGGTAACTATCCTGCACCCACTTAAGTATGTGTCCATCATTTGGTTTTTTATCCAATCCCAGAGGTCCCTCTCCCAGCCCCACCCCTAGACCCGCCTTGCTTTCTCTCACCCCCAATTTATCGCCAATGGGTTTGGGTGACCCACTTACGGCTTTTCCTTCGTACAAACACGGTGGAAAGCCGCCCTTCTCCAGAGCATGACTCCAACCGGTTGAGACTCTGCTTCCCAGCAACTGTCGACAGTTTGGTTCAAATAAACTCACAAAAATTCTTCACGGGTTTGACTGTTCCCACGTGAACACTAGCACCTGGGAATCTCAGCCTGCTGACCTTCCTCACCTGCCCAGGCCTCTGCACTGCCTGCCGCATCCGCCCTGAACGCCTGGCTTTGAATTCCTCAGGGAAAGGGGCTCAGGGTCTCTGCTGTAGCTGCTTCCTGCAGAAGAGGGCCGACGTCTTCCTGCAGAGTCGAGAGACCGGGCTCTCTGCAGAGGCCTGGGCACAGGAGGAGCTGGGGATGGTGCCCAGAGCTGGCAAAGGGCCGTATTCCCTGAGTACGAGCAGGGCTGATCACCCGGTGGCGACAAACTGTGCTGTTGGGAGGAAAAATAGTTTCAGTTCTCAGTAATTTTCAAGTCAAAGGATGGGAGAAGGTGAAACATCAGTGTGAAGAGTACTGACCAAATACTGAAGAAAAACAGAAAAATTCAGGATCCAGGTCAGTTCATGGATGAAAAACAAAACTTGGTAGACAAGTAACTGAACTAGCGTCTAATCTTCACAACTGTGTATTCTAGATTCTGTTGGAGCACAATAGCCCCCTAAAATCACCCTCATTTTCATCAAAAGGCCAAATTAAGCGCCATTTATTTACTGCATTAAGTCCAGTTTCCATTTGGCCTGCTTATTTGCATACATATGACAAGGGTCATAAGCGCTCATGTAGGCTTTCTTCGGTCTGCTCCTCTGGAATCCCTTAAGGAATGTCCAGGGCGGCCCGGCCGGCGGGGCTCAGGGGGTGAGCATCCACCTATGACCCAGGAGGTCACGCTTGGACTCCCGGTCCGGGCACAGGCCCCAGTTGTGGGCTCCTCGATGCCCAGTAGGGGGCGTGCAGGAGGCAGCCGATCCATGATTCTCTCTCATCATTGATGTTTCTCTCTCTCCCTCTCCTTTCTCTCTGAAATCAATAAAAATATATTTTTAAGAAATCAGAGCCTGTTCCTTTCCAACTAGGCAATGTTATGGTGTATGTGTGTGTGTACATTTAATCCTCAGAGAGAGAGAGAAACATCGATCTGTTGCCTCCGTGCTCACCTGACTGGAGATCGCACCCAGGACCGTTTTTGGTGGACAGTAGACACTCAGCCAACTGATCCACCCACCAGGGCGACAACGTATATTTTTGCTCATCAAATCAGCCCCGATTCACCAAATAGGCCGAGATTTTCTTGAAATCAGTGATGCCCACAATCTCTCTCTCCCTCTCCCTTCCTCCCAGAAATCAATCAAAAGAAATTTGGTTTTGAGCGAAAGCAAAGTTCTATCACAGAAAAGCTGTAAAACGGGGACTCCATGCAGTAGACTGTCGGGGCGTGGGCCACACAGACCTGGTTGGGGAGGAGCACACCCTGGTGACTGGGA